TTTAGCCGTACCTGCCTTCTTTCCTTACTCTAACGTTACTATAATATAGGCTTGCGCGAAGCTTACTCTATTGCCTAGCGATACCGCGATACTACCGCTATATTCAACCTTCGCATCGATACCTATACCTCTACGCTCTATATCTACTACCTCCGTAATACCCTCGCTCCGCGCGCGCCTTCGTATACCTTCGTAACGCACTTTTTTCCTCAATTCGACGACTTTTATAATAGCGAGTCTACTTAACTAAGTTACGACGCCTCGCAAGAAGGGACCTAGTACTTCTGCGGGTCGCAATAAGACCGGAAATAGTAGAACGAGTATAGTATATTAACGTAAGAGGGCTGCTGCTACTACCGCTAGCTCCGGTACTAGAAAGGGCGTCGCGAGTAAGGCTCCGCGTAAGACAACGGCGGGTAAGGCTCTACGTAAGACGACAACTAGCGCTTCTACTACTAGTAGCAATCGTACGAAGCGTCGATAGCGCCTAGGAAGTAAGTCCTATTTATAGCCGGCAGCGTAGCCGGTAGCGTAGCCGGTAGCGTAGCCGGCATTCTTACTGTCTTTTTACTAATCCTTCTTTAGCCGTAGCCCTCCGTAAGATTCGGTAGTATTAGAAGAGTTCTTAGCTCCTAATCCGTAAAACTCCTTTCTAACGACTTATTCGCGAAATTGCCTAGGATTATAGAACGGACCTTCGCTTCTAAGCCTCCGCGATAGGCGCCCTTTAAGAGGCTATAGAAGCCTACCTAGTTCGTATCTTCGAATGTATATTTCTCTTCTACCTCTTTTCGGACTATACTAATACTATTTTAGCGGTTAACCTTATAGCTATCTACGCGAAGCGTATAACGATTATAGACAAGGATTTTAAAGCACTCGATCAGATTCTAAAAGGCTAGAATGTCTATATTCGAGACGGTACTAGGTAGGATAGATATTCTAGTAGAAAGGATGTTCGTAGTATTATCTATAAGCTTTTCTATATACGAAATAAGCCGCTATTATACGGCGCTGCATACCGCGCTCTAAATACTCTCTAAGCATATATATATAGTATAGTATGCTTTATTAGCCGTACGGAATAGAAGTCTCCTAAAATCCCGTTAGTACTAAGGAGTAAAAAGGCCGGCTACGCTGCCGGCTACGCTGCCGGCTACGCTACTAGCTACGCTGCTAGGTTTTTTAAAGAACTAAAAGAAGATAGACATTCCGGTTGATTTATATTAGTTTAGATTTTTATAAAAAGAAAACAGGGAAAAATAAGGAAGGTTGAAGAGCCTAATAGTTATAGTTATAGGCACTATCCCTGTTTTCTAGAGCATATTATATACCTGCCTTCGCAACTCTACCTAATACTCCCTCTAAATATCCTTATACTCTACCTACTAAAAATTTAACTAGGTACCTAGACCTGTAGCTGCCTCTATATCTTTTACTATCTTCTACAGGTTGAAGGCCTCTTCTATAGCAGCCTCTACCTCCTTATACAATACGAAGTTACTACCTGCCCTACCCTTTATATCTCCTAAATAACTAAGAGTTCTAAGGAACGAACTAGCATTCGGCCTTAGTATAGCGAGTAACTAGTAGAACGTTCTATAGAGCTGCCTTATAGCTCTTTTATATACTATACCGATACCGAGGGAGGAGCTATCCTAGTACTTAATATTGTCGAATAGTTCGGTAGGAAAGTGTATAAACTTCTTAAGGAGGAAGACTTCTAGGGAAATCGATAAGTTCTGCCTAGATCTAGATAAAGACATTCTACTAAGCAGTTAGGGAATTGAACTATAAACGAAAGGATGAAATTTATACCTAAGGAGTATAGTTTCCGAACTAAACTATAATGCCTTATATATATGTGTGTATGCTTTTAATTAGTTAGTACCCTTAGCTAATTGTCTATAGATTTGAGGTTATATAAGTATCTTTATATAACTACGTAGCCTAAGTAGGATTCGAAAATTCTATAAGTACTAAGGACTAAAAATGCCGGCTACGCTGCCGGCTATACTGCTAAGTCTTATAAAGGGCTTGCTTGAAGCTACGTATACATTCGTACACTTCTTAAAAACCGATAAATTATATAGTTCGAACTAGCTACTTATATAGTTGCTTAGCAAACCAACCTAAACTAAACTAGAGTTTCGGCTTAGCAAACTAAACTAAACCAACCCGAACTACTACGGGGTCTACGTAGTGCTAAGCGTAGAAATGCGAATATCTAGCTAGGCGACCTTCCTGCTATCCTTAATAGCCTTTATAATAATATAGACGGCAAAGAGCTTAAATACTAGGTAATATCGAAGAGATTGAAGGGCAAGGAAGAGCGTAGTATTGTATTTTAGACCGACTAGTAGCGAGAGTTATTAAATACTAAGGTAGGAGATGTAAGTGCAGGTATTGTTATTATTACTATAGAAGGCAGGTATATAACTAAGCTTCTAAGCTTGCGTTCTACAGTTCTTACGACTAACTTTAAAAATTCAAAACATTACTAACTTATATACTATATAGTTATTCTTACTAGACGCAACTTATAAGACTACCAACCTTAGCTAGAGCCTTTTTACTATATATGTTTGTAACAGGTTAGGGTACTAGTTGCTAGTAGGATATATGTTGCTAGAATCTTAGAAAGCTAAGCTAGTAGAAGCCGGTCTCTAAGTCCTTAAAGGGTAGTTACTACTATAGAATGCTATTATAGCTATAGTAGACGACTCGGCCTCTAAGCAGGCCGTAATTAACCTCTCTTAGAAGGAGAAACAGGTGCTTATCTACCTTTGCTAGCGGTACGTTAAAGAGACCTTCCTTCGCTTATTTCTAGAGGCCTAATTTCTAGAGGTTGTTAAGCGATTCTACTACGTAATCTATTACGCCCGTAGCGCTAGCGAGGTCGCTAACGATATAGTTTAGATCTAGGAGTAGTTATAAGAGAAGAAGCCTACAGACTAGCAAAACAAGGTCTAATATATACGCTATAATTAGAATAGTTAGACTTTACGAATATAGGCTATATAGGTACGGCTTTATAGTCTATTATTGCTGCAAATACGGACAACTTCGCCTCTCGAGGGCTATTACTATGCTATTAAGTATAACCGGAACAAGCGGAACCTCGTGTTCTATAACCTCTATAGTACGATTCTCGAGGTTCTTAAGGTAGACGACAGGCTAGCTTATAAGGCACAACTCGCTAGCTATAGGGTTAGCAAAGGCATACAATACTAGTATAAAAAGCGCCTTCTAAGCTTCGAGAGTCTGTAACCGCTAGCGGCTTAAGATCGACTACGAGAATAGATAGATATCGCTATTAAGATAGAAGCTAAGGCGGCGCCTATTTATAAGGATATACTACGTAGTTACGACTATATAACTCCGGCTCGTTATAATTGCCTCTCGTAGTTTTAAACCCGGCTACCTTGTTACTATATTCTACGAGACTACCTATTTAATAGACTAGAAATTAGTAAGCTATAATAGCAACGATATATCGAGCTGTTTCTAGGCCTTAACGTAATGTTTGCTTACGAATACTAGCGCGTTCTCGATACTTAGTAACTCGTAATCGAAGGTTACGAAGAAGACGCCGTTGCCTTAGTATAAACACCTCAATTAAGAGACCTTCGAGGCTACTTTAAGGAGGCAGTAGAAACGCTAAATCTAAAATATTAGTATATAGTAGACGACCCTACTATTAACGCTTCTATAAAGGACTTATTCTACGCCTTCTACGTGTAGAAGGTTAAGGACTTCTCGGATAGTTGCTACGTACTAAATGTTAACTATTTTATCGCTAATCTATAGGAAGTCCTATTTATAGGCGAGACCGAGCGACGGTAGACAACTTAACTACCTTCTAAACTAGCGATACTAACTCTAGCGATACTAACTCTAGCGATACTAACTCTAGCAATACTAACTCGCACTCGATTGCTACTAACTATACTAGAAACGTACTATGTCTATGCTAATATAATACTACGACCGTTACCTTTAAAACGGCGCATTTAATCGTTACCTATTCGCTAACCTATATTCTTATTACTACCTCCGCTAGGTAACCTTACTCCGAGGCTAATTCCGCGCCTACCGCCGCCCTCCTTCGATACGCCGCGCCGCGAGACAACGCTAGAAATACAGTCCTTATAACTACTCGATTTAGACGATATAGAAGAGGTAGATTTAATAGAAGACATAGAACCGCCGCCGCTAGTGCGAGGTCTACCTACGCCGCTAGGTACTTGCTATTTAACTAACTACTAGCATTAGGGTAAGCTATTATAGCTTTATATATATAGTATTCGCGAGATTAATAGTATTACTATAGACGACCGCTACTTTACAGATTCTAGCCTCTCGTCCTTTAACGAGCTTCTTATCTTCTATAACGTAGACTAGTATACTATAGATAGGATAATAAGCTATATCCGAGACGAGGATTACAAACGAGCGAATAGGCGACTAAATAGATAGATAATAGATAACTCGGAAGACGACGCCGCTAATAACTTACCTAGCGATAAGCGAGTTAGACGAGAGATAAGAGGTTTAAGAATATATAGTAACCGCTAGTTAACCGCTAGTAAGCTAGCAATACGTACGAGACTACGTACTAAGTAATAACGAGGTCGAAGAGATAGCTATTAGCGTAGATAAGCCTTCTACTATAGTCGTAGAAGGTAGTAAAGGCAATAATAGTATTTTATAGTAATAGTATGTATTTAATCTTAGTCTATATATTAGTCTATAATAGTCTCTTCTACTATAAAAGCGCCGCTTCTATAATAGTTAAATAGCCGCTTTAATAATAGTTAACCGATAGGCTCGAGAGAGGCGCCCTTCTTAACCTAATCCGTTACTACGCCGAGTGGTTCCAAACAGCACTAAACCAGAGGATTGCGGGTAGCTTATTGCCTAGTAAACGCTAGTAAAAGACTGTGCCCCTAACTCCGCTCTAGGTTCAGCTAAAACTCCTGACATCCAAGAGTAACCAGTTATTCGTCATCGTCATCATCATCATCATCATCAGACGGTGAGTACATGTAGCGCATCGCATCGCATCGCACGAGGCGCTTAACCTTCCACGCCACAGATTTTGAAACGCTGGTTGTGCGAAGCGGAGCAACAAGAGGGAGCTTTTTCCGGCTTCCCAGCCTCAGAGAGTAGTGTGCGGCTCATCAGGAACTTATCCGCATTGTCCCGAATAGGGCGAGAGGCTAGAACTAACCATCAACCCGGCAGGTGGAATAATTGCACAAGGCCACGCATGCATGCTGCACCTTCTCGTTCTCGCCCCCTTCGAACTCTGCTTTTGCACAGCCACACTTGCTCTTCGACGATCACCCTTTTTTTTCCTCGCTAGTACCCTCTCAGAAGGGATCATCAAGTCAGGCGTCAAGGAGCCCTCGAACATGCTCGTCTATCTACATCACACCATAGCACATTCTTTCAGCTTCATGCAGGCCGCGTATAGACTCGAGAAACAAACAGCTACAGTATGCCTGTAGAATACGTACCGACAGACACGCCAAGGTTCTAGAATAATCACGAGGCGCTCTCGAGGCGGACAGTCTGACAAACTCAAGAATACAGAATTGGGCGGCAATACAGTATTCTACAGCAGTAACTTAGTAGAACCCCAGACCCCAAAAAAATAAATCCGTACATATGCAGCCCAGACCGGTACACACACACATCTAAGAAAAAAGCTCGTATCGATAAGAATCACCCAAGCAAACAGCAAAGCAAAGCAAAGCAATGAATGCAGTTTCACCTTCCCATCACCTCAAAGCGATGACAGGCCATTCCAACTCCACCTCCTCCAGCGTTCGGGAATAGAGTTCGCCTAGGGATACCTGTACATACGCATGTGAGAAGGGTTCTTCCATGGATGTGCGGGAGGGAGCTAATAAGATGATTGGGTTCGATGTACTTACGGTACAGTACAGTAGAACCCGCTCTGTTTAGCGTACCAAGAATAAAAAAGAATTTCTCTAAGCCACGCCACTTCACCCGGGGAGAGTACGTATCTGATGGTGGTCTGTGGACGGGATGCTCAACCCCACCCTACGAACAACAACCTACTACTACCTTGCACATGGGACGGACGATTGAGCAATGAGCATGGCTGCAATCCTGCCGCCTTGCGCCTGGGAAGTGTCACGTCACGGGACGCCGTGCATCAGCAAAGCAACGACACATCATCGCCTCGGGATGGACTATAGACACACACGATACCCTGAGAAGCAATGATGAACGTATGACTCGTAACATTTGATGATGTGCCGAGTGCTACTCTGTGCGTGCGCAAGTGGCCATCTGAGGCCTTCCTCCTCGCAGCTTGTCAGGGCCCGCGCCCGATTGTCGTTGCAAGTCTCTGTGCTATTTACTGATGGAACCGATCAGGAAACAACCATGATCCATTCTGAGGCTCCAGAAAGTCAGATTTCTGCCTGTATTGCGAGCAGGAGGCCTGCTACGCTGCTGCTACATGGCTTTCCGTATAAGTGACTTTGTGAGGAAAACCGTGAGCCCAACACCCGTCCGTGTCCGTACACCCATGTATTAAAAGTAGAAAAGTATGCTTCCTGCAAATGATTCGTCCATCCCAATCTTCGCTGTAGTGGGTATCATCAAAAAGAGAAAAAAGTGCAGCCCGATATCAAAGGCTTGGTATCTCAAAATGCCCAAGTTTCGAGGCGCGATATCTTGGAGTTGTTCCGTTCATGTACACGGCTGAGGGTTTGCATGATAGGTAGGAGAAGCGTGATCCGTCGTTTTGCTCGTGGTTCGTGATATTAAGGAGTGGTCTGTGCTCTCTTCATGGGAGAGCCATGGTGGTAGCATCAAAATAGCAACTTCAGCTCATAACCGGTGGAGCTGACATTCTCGATGGTCGGCAAGTCGCCATCGCACTGGATATCGGTGGGTCCGGCGTCCCACTCTCGCTTTGGTTTTACTGGGGTGTCTGGCTGGACCTCGCAGAATTCGGCCGTCATGTCCTGTCCTTCTGGGAGTTCGCGGATGCATTCGTCGTCGAAAAGTACGGTTAGGCCATCCCTGTTGATGCGGTACGTTCGCAATACCTGCGTAGGTTCGATGCCGCATTTCATGGCCAAGGTGTTGTTGAACTCTTTCAGTGACCGCTTCATCAAGTAGATGGCGCGGTAGTAGTTGTCACATGTCTTTCCAGCCACGCGAGGCTGGATGAAAAAGCATGCGACTGGCTTGACCGGTCTTTCGGGAGGAGGTCGGTAGCTGTGATCCACACCGACTGCCTCAATCCAGCCAGCAGATGTGCCGTCGTCTGAGGTTCTAGTGTGGACCTTCATAGGCTGATTGTCTGGCGGGCTTTGCAATTGCTCCGAAATCGTGGGCTGAATGTCCATCGTCGCGGTCTGGGGATTATTGCGCCATTCACTCGAATTCACTCGTGAAGGGCCATTGATCGGAGTCGGCTGCTGCATCGTGGAGTCTTTTCTGCTGCCGATCAACGAATTGTTGCTTGGAGTGGGCGAGACGACGGAGGATCCCTTTTCATCGCTGTTTCTCTCCCAACTCGTGTCTGCAGAATCGGTCCTGACCAGCTCAATTTCTCCCGAGAGCTTGACCGGTTGAAGATCTGGATCATCACCATCTTCACCGCGCAGATAGAGCACACTTGCAGGTCTGGTAGAAGTGAACATATCTTGCAGTGTCATGAGTTTCATGTGCAAATCTTCTTCGGCGCTGCCTCTGCCGCCGTTCGAGGTCCCTGAAGTCATTGACCAGGTCCTTCTGTGTTTCGGAACCTTTCCAGGTCGGTTGTCAAGGCCTTTCGCGACGGAACCTGCGCGTTTTCGCTTGCCAAGGTCGCGCATTCCAGATTCGATCTGCGCAATCTGTTGGTTGAGTTTGTCAATGGTCTTCTTGACGTGGGCCACGTCGTTGGACAATTTTCGTTCGGCGCCATGATCTCTGAAAAGCTTGACTTTGCAGTAGCAGACTTCCGGACCGGTAGGCGTCGTCGACTCCTCGATGGCTTCCGTCTTCGCGCAAAGTCGAACGGGAATGCCCTTGACGCCTTTTGAATGGCTGAAATCGGTCGACAAGAAGTTGAATCGAACAGAAATCGGGCACTCAGATGCGCCCGCGGCTGGACTCCACGTCACGCAGAAGCCATCGAAAGAGGAGCATTCGAGGTCGACTCTTGGTTTCGTGGGATCTTCTGCACCTCCCATGTGACCGGAGTCGACATATTCGACGGCTTGCAGACGGCCACCTCTTTGATGCGCCTCATTCGTTCCGCGGCCTTCTTTCCACAGCTGCCAGCAAGCTGCAGGCTTCTGCCGTTGCTGCTCGTCTTCAAAGGATACGCGTACAAAGGTGCGGTATTTTGTGGCTGGTGCAGTCGGTTGAGCATGGGTATCGACGACGTTAAGTGTGTACGCCTGGCCCTTATTCAGGTATGTCACGGGAATTTCGTCTGCATGCTTGATCATCGCCGTCGGCGCGTTCAGCGTGACATGGTATCGAAATCTGTTCAAAATTAGCACCGGAGGTTCGTCAACAGTGGCTGTGAACGATACGTACTTCTCGGCGGACGGATGTAGCGGAGGTGGCCGCATCGTGTTTGGAAGGTTTGGAGGGCGAAATAGAAGGTCCGGCGATTGGTGCTGGGGTGGCAAGCCCATGTCCAGACCCATGTCGTCGATGGGCGATTCTCCGACCGGGCCCTCGATCGACTCAAAGGACGGTTGATGGGTAAAGTGCGCTGGAGGAAAGGCTTGTTGTTGATGCATGTGGAAGGGATTGACATTTTGGAATTGGTGAGGTTGCATGTGTTGCGGGAGATGTGCGTGGAAGGCATCGAAGGGTGCGGTCTGCTGGCCAGCATGCAAGGCACCTTCCGAGGTGGGCATGGACAGAGGGGTGCCCAGTCCCATGGCGAAGGTGGGTGTATGAAGGTCGCCGGCTTGGTTGTGATAGAGAGGATTGGAGGCACCGGGCGTGGGCGTGTAGTAGGCCGACATGGGGTTGGCGAACATGTTGAAGTTGGGATTGTTTGGATCCATTAGTGATGGTGTGAGGCCTGAAGTTCCAAAATTCCACGGCTCGTTGGAAGGGCGTGGAGTGGGGTCTGCATCGTTGATATCGTGCGGCTGAGTGTCGAGAGAGCTGGGCAGCGATGTCAGTGCTCGTTCCAAACACGCAGTTGCCTGCGAAGCAAATGGGGTTGATCTGTGCTGGGGATATTATCAGAACAGACAGGGAAAGGCCTACCGCGGCTTCGGCGGGACATCGAGGGCTTCTGCGAGCGGCTGTGCCTGAGCGTGCGCCGGCGCCGGTGCACTGGAGGCTGGAGAGGTGGTGGCGGCGGACAGTTCGGGGAAGTTGGCCTTGAAGTCGCGATACAGCTCGTCGCTGGGCTTTTGCGATGTTCTCCTGTGCGCACAGAGATTATTGTCAGCAGGCGCAGGCGCAGGCGTGGGGATTGATGGCGAGGGCGATGGCGATAGCGATAGAGTTCCAGCGTTGCGCAACGCGGAGCCTGGAGCCTGGAAGCCGATCGTGTGGCTGTCCCGTCCAGCGCTCTCAGAACAGCGCTGCGCTGGCTGAAGGGCGGACATTGCGTCTCGTCGCGACATTCTGCTTACCGATTTCGAAACATGGCCGGTCCAGCGAGGAATGCGTCGGCAACAGCAGCGCTGGGACACGCAGAGCTGGAGGGGGCATGAAAGAAACACGCACAAGGCGGAGGCGAGAAGTAGTAGAGCTGCTCTGCTGCGTGTGCGCCTGCGCCGTGGTGAAACTGCGAGAGAGAGAGAGAGAGAGATTGTGTTCCAGCCACAGCAGATGGCTTGAACATATTCTTGACACCGACACGGCAGAGCTGGCCAGGGGCTGCTGGTGGCGCTAGCGCCTAACCCAACCCCCGCGGCTGCAGAATAGAACCATCACTCTCCGCCTCGTTCAACACCACGATCGATGGGGGAACGCTGCTATGCTGCCAGCAAATGGCATGCACACACCGCTCGCGTCCCTCCTCCATCCAATGCTCCGTTGTCTTCGCTTTCCCCTCAGCAAATGAGCATTGCACACTCTTAGCGAGGCAAGGCTTCTCCCTTCTCCCCCACCAGCACCGCCACAACGATGCTGCGCCACATCCACATCGAGCTTTCGCTTTCGAGACACTAGCCACAGTGCAGGGATGGCAGAAGCTACGGTGAAAGCTGTGGCACTCGTGCTCCACCTTGCCGCGACACTCATGCACACCCCGGCCTAGCGCTGTCGCTGTCGCTGGACGATGCCCTGTGGCTCGTTTCGTATCGTGCTCCGCCGCCAGTCTCCGCAGTACGAAGCGTCGAAGCGTCGTATAGGTGCTTCATCTTTTAGCTCAGCGTATGAGAGCTCGCAGGCCTACTCAAACATTGTTGCATCCTCAGTCCTTTCATGTCCTTCCACCAGCCCATTTCGCGCCTTCCCGTGCTGGCCAGCAGTAATGTCCTCAACAACACTGGACCCACTACGGAGCGAATGAACGAGAAGGCCGGCCTGCGTGGGACCCCCCGCCCGTTGCTGCCCTTCGCCGTCATCGTCACGCCTCTGCGTGGCACAGACGTCTCGCAAGGTGCACATCGCGGTCTGGAGTTGCGTGCGCGTGTCAGTGACGTGCTGTGACTGCTGTCCTTCATCAAAATTTCTCCTTCGCCCTACTACAAAGCGCTGCTGAGAATGGATCATCCCGGCTACACATCCCGCCTGCCGCCCAACGACCTGTCGTCCGGCACGTACAGCCCGATCGCGCGGATCGGCAATGATTTCAGTTGCTTGTGCTCGCTCACCACTACTGCTGTAGGTCTATCCTGTATCCGAAACGTTCAACTGTGGTCCAGAATTGCTTCACTGTCCTTTCCATATGATGCCCCTGTGCCACATGCCTCTTGTGGTTCAGTATACTGCACTAGCCGAAATGAGCACTGGAAATGGTACTGAGCACCCTTTCCTATAGGAGCTATATCAGCAGCAGCATCCGTTGCCACTGCTCGCCCACTGCCTCCCCGCTTGTGCTATTCAGGGCACACAGGCTCACACAGCGGTGAGGGTTCCGCTGAAAGCTGTAATGTCGGTCATTTCAGTACAGATTATGGTCTCATATCGGATAATAATGATTGCCAGCAAGAACAGCGGACTGCCCTTCTCCTCTTCCCTCGTAATTTGGCGTGGACGGCGCTATCAAAAGCACAGGCGCCAAGGCAATATGGTGAACAAGACCCACTGCTTCTGTGAATCGTCGATGCCCTTAACATCTGCGACCGTCGAAACACGGCGATAATTTCAGCTCCTAGTGCTTCGTTCCGGCTGCATATGCGGCCGAGATGATGTTAGACAGCTCCTATGTGCCCCGAGACGTGATCGCGTTATGCAGATGCCCAGTCACGCGCGCGCATTCGCTTCCGCGCGAAGCTGCTTCGCGAAGGTAGAAGTATGTAGTAGATCGTGTCGCCTACGCCTTCTGCAAGACATGCAGACATCCAGCGTGGAAGCCATTTCTTGCACAAATCCCTCGACCATCGTCCATCAACAGCCATTATTACGAATTCTCGAATGATTCAGCAAGTGTGGAAGCAACGCTGAACGCTTCGCTCCCGCTCCCGTCCTGTGGCATTATTGTGGGCGTGGCACTACTCACACGCTGTGGCATCCGGAGATTTTAGCCGATGGATTGTGGCATTTTGGCAGGGCTGCTGATCGAGCTCGTGCGAGAAGCTTGAGTGCAGCAAGCAGTCGTGGCAGTGGAGTTGACGACAACATCCTGTCCCAGTATCTGCCGAGTAGGTGGTAGAAATTGGCGCTGGTATTGGAATTGGAATTGGCGCTGGCATTGGCATTGGCTGTTGATATTCTGCGAGAGCATGCCTAGTTGAGCTGCTTCTGCGAGAGCTGGCGCTGGAATTGGCGGTGAAATAGCGCTGGAATTGGCACTGGAATTGGCATTTGATAAGGTCCTTCCTTACCACCCTTCCATTATGTTCTTGCAAGCTCGCTGAGTCCTTGTCCCATCCCCGGAAAAGTGAGCCGTAACACCACGCTCGATCGCGTTGCTTCTGTGAGAGCTGGCGTGTAATGTGGGATGCCTGGTTGAGTTGCTTCTGCGAGAGCCGGTGTGTAATGTGGGATGCCTGGTTCAGCTGCTTCTGCGAGAGCTGGCCTGGTTCAGCTGCTTCTGCGAGAGCTGGCCTGGTTCAGCTGCTTCTGCGAGAGCTGGCCTGGTTCAGCTGCTTCTGCGAGAGCTGGCCTGGTTCAGCTGCTTCTGCGAGAGCCGGTGTGTAATGTAGGATGCCTGGTTCAGCTGCTTCTGCGAGAGCTGGCCTAGTTCAGCTGCTTCTGCGAGAGCTGGCCTAGTTCAGCTGCTTCTGCGAGAGCTGGCCTGGTTCAGCTGCTTCTGCGAGAGCTGGCCTGGTTCAGCTGCTTCTGCGAGAGCTGGCCTGGTTCAGCTGCTTCTGCGAGAGCTGGCCTGGTTCAGCTGCTTCTGCGAGAGCTGGCCTGGTTCAGCTGCTTCTGCGAGAGCTGGCGTGTGGTGGTGCCTGGTTCAGCTGCTTCTGCGAGAGCTGGCGTGTGGTGGTGCCTGGTTCAGCTGCTTCTGCGAGAGCTAGCGCTGGAATTGGCGGTGAAATGGCGCTGGAATTGGCAATGGAGATAGCACTGGAATTGGGATTTGATAAGGTCCTTCCTGACTACCCTTCCATTATGTTCTTGCAAGCTCGCTGAGCAGGCTTTTCCATCATGTCCTTGTAAGCTCGCTAAGTAGGCTCTTCCATCGTGTCCTTGTAGGCTTGCCCTCGTAGTTGAGCACATTGAATTGGCTGTTGACGCGCTTGCCGAGAAGGGCTTGTAAATGGTCGTGGGTGTCGTGGTCGTAGGTGTCGTGAAAATCGTATACAAGAGCTGGTCGAGAAGCGTGAATTCGAGGAAGCGACAAGGATGCCGAGTCCCGCCAAGACCCCGGATTTAGTATAGTAGAGCGCTTGATTGGTGGGATTAAACGTTATAGCTGCTTCCTTCCGCGCATTCACAACACGACTTTCACGACTTTCACAACAGCACATCACCAATGCAGCGAGATACGTCGATTAAGCGCATTTCTAGCAAATGGCGCTAACAAAAGTGTCTAACACGATAACGACGGCCGCCTTAGGCACTAAGAACCGCCTCCGAAACCCGAGAAGTTACCGACACTAGCGACACTAGCGACACTAGCGATACTAGCACTATACTCATTGCACCGCAGCCATTGGCACTACAACATATACGGCAAGGATAGATACGTAGGGCGATAACATATATCGAGCGTAAGCACTCTTCGAGAAGCTACGATAGCCCTCTTACGTTAACGCCCTCTATTACTTAGACTCTCCTAGAACGATTATTCCGATAACTAGTTACTATACAAGGCAGAGAAGAACGAGTAGTAGCGTCCGGGGATCTAATCAACTAGCGGCACTAAGCGGCTATAGAAGCATATACTCCGAAGCATACTAGTATTATATATAGCCTATATACTACGCGTAATGCGTAACAATTAACGCATTCTATTACTAACTATAGCACGTATAGCCGAAGACAAGGTGTATAGGACGGGACTTATTAAGCGAAACAATAATAGCTTATTCGCTAAAGCGACACTTATTAGTACCTAGACAATAATAGAGTATAACCGCGCCCTTAGTATTAGAGACACCGTAGAAAAGGGTTGTCGAGCGCGTTATAGTCGTATAGTAATGTTAATACGCTTGCTAGAAGAGGAGGCGTACTATAGTCGGATAATAGTCTTAATACGCTTTCGATCGGTTCGGTTCGGTACGTACTATAGTCGAATAGCAGTCTTAATGCGCAAAGGGCTATAGTCGTATAGTAGTGCTATAGTCGTATAGCAGTAAAGACTAAGACTAAGCGCCTTCGGGCTTAATAAGTACACTAGAGGCTCTTACGCACTAAGGTTATTATAACTAACAGTCCTAACGAAGGCGTTACGCCGACTTAACTAGATGCGCGTATGTTATCCTATAAAGAATCCGAACGTAGGAAGCCTGTAGCCGCTACTTAAGGTATACCTTACTAAAGAGTTTTTACCGAGTTAGGCCTAGCCGCTACTTAAGGTGTACCTTACTAAAGAGTTTTTACCGAGTTAGGCCTATAGCAATGCTACGAACCTATTAACCTACTTAGTCTATTAACCTACTTAGTCTATTAACCTACTTAGTCTATTAACCTACTTAGTCTATTAACCTACTTAGTAGGAGAGTCGCTATCGAGTCGCTACTTAAGGTGTACCTTACTAAAGAGTTTTTACCGAGTTAGACCGTTAGCCGCATTATAGGTATACCTTACTAAAGAGTTTTTACCTCCGCCAATCTATCTAAGACCTCTATAGTTTATACTAAGACTGCGATATTCTAACAAAAACTATACTCTTTCGGTTAAATACGTAGTCGACGCCCGCTAAAGCTATAGTATACCTACTCGCTAGGAGAGTCGCCTCGTAACGTCTTACGTCGGCAAAGCCTATCGGAGACTAAACCTCGAAGAGAAAGGACTAAACAAACTCTACCTGTCGAGGAACCTTAACTATTAGACAAGCGGCTCTATCGGTAGCAAGCCGCAGAACTAGTAAGGAATAGTGTTAATCGCTATAGAGCTATCTATATACGACAAAGAGGTATCGACACTGTTACTATTAGAAGCCGATAGCTAGTGTATTACTAGGGGTGTTAGTGTATTAGTGTATATAGAAGAAGAAGAAGAAGAAGTTGAACTAGGAAGCGTAGGTCTATATTAGCGTATCGTAGGTAAGGTTTGCCTCTACTAATAGGATTGCGCTATTTAGCTATAATAGCAAGGCAACAATAACGGCTATATATTATCGCACTTTCAACGTAACGTAATAGCCGCCGACTGCTGCTAGTCGAATGCCTAAGGCGAGAATGCCTAAGGCTAGAATTGCTAGCGACTAGAGGCATAGGTAAGGACTTCGCATTAGGCTATAGCTAGTTTAAAAAGCTCTTCGGCACGATAACAGAATGTACTCTACGCTCGTTAGCCGACGTAGCTCTTTACTCGAGTTGTCGCACGCCCGCATCCCCGACAAGATACGCACTCTAGTCTACCGCTACTACTTCGCCGCTAACCCCCTAGTCTACGGAGCTATTAGCTATTAAACCATTATCGTACGCCTAGCCAAACCCTTCGTAGCCGGCTATCAAACTATTATCGTACGCCTAGCCAAACCCTTCGTAGCCGGCTATTAAGCTATTATTATATGCATAGCCTAGCTAGCTATTAAGCTATTATCGTACGCCTAGCCTAGCCTAGCCGGCTATTATCGTACGCCTAGCTAAACCCTTCGTAGCCGGCTATTAAGCTATTATTATACGCATAGCCTAGCCTAGCTAGCTATTAAGCCATTATTATACGCATAGCCTAGCCTAGCTATTAAGCTATTATCGTACGCCTAGCCTAGCCTAGCCGGCTATTATCGTACGCCTAGCTAAACCCTTCGTAGCCGGCTATTAAGCTATTATTATACGCATAGCCTAGCCTAGCTAGCTATTAAGCCATTATTATACGCATAGCCTAGCCTAGCTAGCTATTAAGCCATTATTATACGCCTAGCCTAGCCTAGCTAGCTATTAAGCTATTATCGTACGCATAGCCTAGCCTAGCCGGCTATCAAGCTATTATCGTACGCCTAGCTAAACCCTTCGACTTTACAAACACCCCCGACGAGGCACGCACTCTAGTCTACTAGGCGCGCACTCTAGTCTACCGCTACTACTTCGCCGCTAACCGCCTAGTTAACGGGGCTATCGTTGTCGGCGGTAAGCGCACTTAGAAGATAAAGCTAGTACCTAAGAGATAAAGCTAGTAAGGAAGGCCTAAATAGTAGTATAGCAGGTTAGATTACTATAAACGAATACAAAAGCTATATTTATTTATTCCTTAGTCGCTACAACCGCTACCCTTATCTATATCTTAGTTACCGCCTATCGTATCGACTACTTTAACCTCCGCATCGATAAGCTAAGCCTATCTATAAGCACGTTAGATAGCATCGACCTACTTAGAATCGGTCTTATCGATAGTAGCACCCTATATATTGCTACGATTAGTCGTAGCCTTACGACTAGCCTTAGTAGCCTCTATGTCCTCTACGACCGCATCCGTAACGGTAGAACGACCTTCGAAGTACTCCTTATATAGAGTATATCGGCAATGCTACTATCTGTCTAGGAAGAGGTAGACCGACTAGAGCGTGCTAATAACCTAGCTAGCCTAGAAGTAGCGCATTATCTGAATCCTAGTCTATTAGATCGCCGCTATCGTCTTGCTACTAAGGCGGAAGGATTAGATTGCCTTTATCGTCGTAATTATATACCGTTATCTTACTAGAAGGTTCGTTAGACATCTTAAAGGACTCGAGGCCTAGCAGCGGTAGTGGCAGCGGTAGTAGCAGCGGTAGTAGCAGCGGTCTGCTAGCGGTAGTAGCAGCGGTAGTAGCAGCGGTAGTAGCAGCGGTCTGCTAGCGGTAGTAGCAGCGGTAGTAGCAGCGGTAGTGGCAGCGGTCTGCTAGCGGTAGTAGCAGCGGTGGTGCTAGCGGTAGTAGTAGCGGTACTAGCAGCTATAGTGGCAGCGGTAGTGCTAGCGGTCTACTAGCTATAGTAGCAGCTATAGTAGTAGTACTAGCAGCGACTTTTAGGTGTTTTAACCTTAGCTTTAGAGTCGCGTTTGCTATATAGCAGCAACTCAACAACTATACCTCGGATAGACTTATGCTATATACAAAAGGTGTTTAGAAATGGTCTACGAAGGACCTCGAAGTATCGAGTCGGCTATAGGAAGGTTGTCGATTGCCCTCGAAGGCTATAGAGCGGTTAGTAGGCGTCGGACGGAATTTTCGCCTACCTAAATAATAATTACCGGCGTTAGGAGAAGGACCTCTAAGTGTTAGCTAGGCGATGCGGTATGTTATATATTAAGGTGTTTCTAGCAGTATAGCTAGCCGCCTAGCAATCCGGACAGCTATAGTCGAGTCGGCTTAGTAGAATAGCGAAAACTTAACGCGCTAACGTCGCATAGACTTTTTTAATAGGTAGAATAAAGCGCAATTAGTAGGGCTATAACCTCCGCTATTTAGAATGTCTTATATACGTTGTAGTGTTATATTAGTGTTTAGTAGGCTAGTTTCGTACGGGTTTATATTAGGCTCGTAGGCGAAGAATTAGGTAGAGTACTCGTAATTAGTTGTCGGTAAGTTCGGAAGCTAGCCCTAATTACTAATCTATTACGTACACTCGGTCGCAATATAATCCCTATCTACTATATATCTACGCAACTTAATTCTTTATTATGCCTACGAGCCTAAATAGAGGTAGAGTATAGCTAGAAGATTGTATTATTAAAAAAAAACCCGAGTAGAAGAAACTGCTCGTATAGTAATTTAATGTTTAAAAGAGCCGTCAATTTCGTATATTACGTGGATTTTAGGCGCGCGGATAATACCTAAAGGTGCAGAAATAGTAGATTAGACTTAGTCGTTTTAATGTTAGTAATGTAAAGGAGAATAAAGAGGATGCTACGTAAATTCGAGGAAAGGATAGGGATATCGAGTCCCGCTAAGACCCCGGATTTACTATAGTAGGGTGCCTGATTAGTAGGAAGTAGCATCGCGACTTCTTCCTTCTCTATATCGCGACCTCGACTTTTACTCTACCTAGTAAATTCGATAACACATTGCAATACGAACGACGAACATAGTCTCTAGAGTCTCGAATCTATATAACTACGATATAGTCTACGTATACCGAGAGCATAGCTTATATCGACGCGTCCGGGAGTTCTACCTAGACGAGGAAGATATAACGACGAAAAAGATAAGACGAAGACGGGTATAAAACGGATACGTACGAGGTATGCGTATAAGAGCGACATAGTAGAAGTGCTATATATTATAAGAGCGATCACTAGCATCCCTTACGGCCCTTATAAATCTACTAGTCTTCCTCCGATATAACTAGCATATCTACTTAGCGACTATAACCTAGAGAGCTAGGTAGAGAGAGACCTATTATTCGCATACT